TAATTGCGCAAGCGGTAGTGATCTTGAACCACTTTATGTGAGGCGCACATGGTGGATTCTGTTATATATGTTTATCGCAAGAGTTGCTGATAAGACTTATGATCGGAATCTAGAATTGCGCAAACTGTGGTTATATTTTTTTCAATCGATCACTTATTTTTGTGAGATTATGGGATATTGATGTTATTATGGCTTATGCCATAATGATTAGCAGATGATGATGTCAGTAGACAAGATTGGCTCAGTCACACAAGCAATTGCCCTTGGCACTTGGGAGCGAGCAAGGATGAGACTGGTGATTTATTTTATTTGGAGCCAAGAGAGGCTTACATTATCCACTATGTATGTCGCCTTGGTTGTAATCAAGATGAGGTCATGTTAAAGACCAAACATGGATGTTAATACCCACTTTCCATATTGTGCCTGTTATGATTAGCCAGATGTGAGATCTTATTTGGCACCTGGAAGATGAACAAATAGAGAATTCGAGTTAGGCACTAGAAAGAACTAGACAAAGATTTGTATGGTGTATCGAGTATGACGTCACTCTTTGGAAGAGTTACTCCACCATAGCATGTATCCATACTACTTGTGCTTGGTGACCGAGTAATGAGGTGAGAGCATGGATCCCTATTTCCTCACCATGTGAGTCTTACGTGTCATTATTGATATGACTTTCACTTATGTACCCATTTGTGACTTTTGACTATGTCATAAAGGAATGGGTTGATGTTCTGCTACTTTGGTATGTTATCTACGGTCATGTTGATTTAGCCTTAAGGGACATCACTGGGAAAACGGTCAATCCTAAACTAAATTGTGTGAGGACGATACTGTTGTATATTCACTGCTAGTAACTCACACTGCTCTGTATGAGAGGCAGATTGAGTGTGAATATATTGCAAAAATTGAGAGGTCAAACAAGCTCTTTTGAGGGATTAGAGATGTTTTTTGGATCGGTGTAATTAGATGGGTCTGGGGTATATGAGACACTATTTTTATTTTCAGGTTGGTGTCTCTATGCTGGCTCTTTTTGAGTTTCTAGTGTAGAGCTCTCACATGCAGGTGTTCTCAGCGGTGGCACGGTCCATTGGCAAGTATGATCGTGTTTGATGGATAGATTGAGATAAAGAAAGTACAGTGTCATACCAGTGCATGTTCGAGTGGGAGATGTTGGAAATTAGGTCAGATATAGAACCCATACCCGATTCGGTTGCCCATTATGGCATGACCCAAGACCCACAAGAAGAGACCCAGTCAAAGTGAACTTGGATTAACTTATCCTAGGGATAAGTGTGATTTTTTTTTTTTTGATCGGCTAAACAAAATCTATATTGATGAAACAAACAAAGTATGAAATATTACATCAATATAGAGGAGCTTAGAGCTAAGAAGAAGCTCCAAGCGCCCAGTTGGTGAGGCACCAACAAAGAAAGCAAAAGAATAAAAGAAAGCAACAAACAAAGAAACTGGAAGTAGACAGACTAAAAGAACAGCAACATTGTAGAAAAATTAAACCTCCACCATTGCAACAGATCAGGAGCCTTCCCGATCCTCCAAGGCACCCACAGACCAAAACAAAACAGCAGAGAGGGCTTGATCTTTGGCCCAATAGAACTGACAGTAGGACCAGCAGAGAGGGCTTGTGTTTTGACCAAAATGAAGCTGCCAGAACATAGACAGATCAGACCAGCTCCCAACACAGGTCTGCCAGTGGATTAATCAGACCATATGCAATCTAACACAATGAAGAAAATCAACAGATCAACAGATCACCAGATCAAAACATCCCCAGATCACCAGATCAAAACATCCCCAGATCACCAGACCATAAATTCTGCAGACTTAATTTTGCATAAATTCCCCAAATTCTGCAGACTAACTGACTTATCACCAGATCAATATCCCCAACAGATCAAACAGAAGCCCAGATCAGCAAAGACAACCCATCTAAAGTTTGAAATCCCAACTCTGATTTGTCTCCAGTTGAAGGTTAAATCATCAACTGAGAAGGGAAGGTCCTTGATGCTTGCTTTCAGCCATAGTGCAGCTCTGACTTTGATAGTTTCACTCAAATCTGAAGTATTTGGTTGAGCCTCTTCGCAAATACATTCGTTCCTACACTTCCACAACGACCAAAGAACAATGAGCGGGATAGCTCTCCAAATTAATCTATCAAAGTGATTGAAGTTTACCCTCATCCACCATTGAAGAAGGCCATCAACTGAATCTTGAATGCACCAAGAAAGCCCCCATTCTTGAATAATTGAAGACCAAATCTGCCATGAAAAGGGGCAGTGAAGCAAGACATGTGAAGCTGATTCAGATTCAAAGCCACAGAAGGTGCAACTGATGGAAACAGATGGGTCTAAAATACCAATTCTGTGCATAAATTCTGCAGACTTAATTTTGTTCTTCCAAGCCAACCAACAAAAAAATGAAACCTTAGGAGGGACAGCTCTGTTCCAGATATGATTACAAATTGGAAGATGAGAGCCAAGTGTGGAATTACTCAAAGAGTAAATTGAGGAAACAGAAAACTCACCTCTGTTTACAGTAGCACAAGCCCAGAAAATACAGTCAGCTTTGTGTGGAGACAGAGAAGGGGCTGACGATAGGACTTCGATCAAACTAGCTTCTTCCTCCAATTCCCAAGAAAACATCGTTCTTCTAATGGGAAAATTCCAAGTATTTGGGCTGGTTTTCCTATCAAAGTATTGATGAAGAGAACCATCTTTATCAGTTGAGAGATTGAAAAGGAGGGGAAAATCATTCTTAAGGCAATTATCCGCATAAAAATTGAAAATATTATTGCAATGGTTCCCAATAGATAAGATGTCTTTCCACACTCTAGAATGTTTGTAGGAGAAACTTACCGGTGGATTCCAACAAGCCTCATCTATCTTGTATTTGCTACATAAAGCCCTCCTCCAAAGAGAATTAATCTGGGTTCCAAATTTCCACCACCATTTAAGCAATAGACATGCATTTACATCTCTTATTTTTCTAATGCCTAAGCCCCCTTGATTAATGCTTTTTGCGGCCTCCCCCTATTTCACTAGGTGGACTTTCCTTTTTAGGTCGTTTCCTCCCCATAAAAAAGTTGATTGAATCCTTTCAATTTCTTTGGCCACACCTTCTGGCATCTTAAATAAAGAGAGATAATAAATTGGTAAACTAGATAAGGTGGACTTGATTAGTGTTAACCTGCCTACAAAAGACAACAATTTTCGCTTCCACCCCGAGAGTTTGGATCTGAATTTGTCAAGCACAGGTTTCCATGTAGATTTTCTCCCGGGGTTGGCTCCAAGAGGTAGACCTAGAAATTTCAGAGGTAGGCTGTGGACTTGACAGTTGAGGAGCTTTGCAAAGGAGAGCAAGAGTGAATCATCCACACCAACACCACATACCACACTTTTGTGATAATTTATTCGTAGACCAGATAAAACTTCGAAGCATCTTAGAACTCTTTTAATAAGCACCATCTGATCCCAATCTGCTTCAGAGAAAATAATTGTGTCATCCGCAAATTGCAGATGAGACAAAAGAACATCCTTTGACCCAACAAGGACTCCTCTAAGTATTCCAAGATTAATTGCTCTGTTCAAAAGCATGTTAAGACCTTCAGATACAATATTGAACAGAAAAGGTGAGAGCGGGTCGCCCTGCCTAAGACCTCTTTGTGGTGAGAATTCAGTAGTGGGTGAGCCGTTCACAAGAATGGAGATCCTGACTGAGGTAATACAGGTTTTTATCCAGGAAATCCATTTGTTCCCAAATCCAAAATTGGACAGAAGGGAAAATAAAAATTCCCAATTCACAGAATCAAAAGCTTTTTCGAAGTCTAGCTTTAAAATTATACCGAGCTTCTTGGACTTTTTCCATCCATCCACCACTTCATTGGCAATGAAAACCCCATCTAGGATATTCCTCTCTCCTATGAATGCAGTTTGTGTTTCACCAATGATGGAGGAAAGAATTGGCTTCAATCTATGTGTTAAGACTTTAGCTAGAATTTTGTAAAGGGAACTTACCAGGCTGATGGGTCTGAATTCAGACAGGCCAATGGGATTGTCCACTTTGGGTATCAGACTAATAAAAGTGCTGTTGATGCCATAGGTCAGTTTGCTATTTGAATGGAAGTCCGCAAAAAATTGCATAATCTCGGGCTTCGTGACCTTCCAAAATTTCTGATAGCACAACAAGTTAAAACCATAAGGACCTGGCGCTTTATTGCTATTGCAGTCCTTAATTGCAGCCAAAACCTCAGCTTCGCTGAATTCTGAGATCAGGTGTTGAGATACATAATCTAACCCAATGGTCTTGTAAACCCCTTCCAAGACAGGTCTTGTAACCCAATCCTCCGCAAACTGTTTCTTGAAGTGTTGATGGACCTCAAACTTAACCCTGTGAGGATCCTCATAAGATACCCCATTAACTTCAATAGAGTTAATCATGTTTCTGCACTGTCTGGCATTGGCAAAAACATGGAAAAACCTAGTATTCTTATCCCCATTGAGAGTCCAGTTCAATCTGGATTTTTGGTGCCAAATCCACTCCACCATCCTATGAAGCTTCCACATCTTACCTCTGACCACTCTTCTTCTTGCCAATTCAGCTTGAGTCAGAGGTCTTTCTTCTGCCAAAATATCAATTGCATGAAGTTCCTCTTCGAAAACTTTAAGTTCAGATGAGACATTACCAAATACCTCAACATTCCATTTCTTCAGTGCTAGTTTCAGATGCTTTAACTTTTGAACAAGTATGTAGCCAGCCCATCCAGTGACCAAAGAGCTGCTCCAAATAGCAGCAAAAAGTTTAGAAAAGCTTGGGTGAAGAGTCCAGGCATTTAGAAACCTGAAGGGTCTAGGTCCCCAATCTCTTTCATCTTCCATCATCAATAGTGGACAGTGGTCTGAAATTAATCTAGGCAGTCCCCAAAGTTTCATTCTGAAATTAATCAGCCACTCAGGTCCAAGCAAAATTCTATCTATACGGCTCTATTTCTCAGATTCTTGGGCATTACACCAAGTGTATTTTCTTCCATGCAGAGGTAAGTCATTGAGCTCACATTTTCCAATGAACTCATTAAAATGATGCATCCCTCTATCCCTCCTGGAGCAGCCTACCCTTTCTCCTATATGCCTTATTTCATTAAAGTCCCCACCCATGCACCAAGGAGCAGGGAAATGGTCTTTGAGCTTGAGGATGTCAGCCCAAAGAGATGATCTAGCGCAGATATCATTTGGTGTATATATGTTAATTAAGACACACTCAAAAGAATTGTACAGGGAACCAGAAAGCAAGATGTACCTCCTATTACAACAGCAACCAGAGAGTTGAAAGACAGCAGGGTCCCAGATACAAAGAAGCCCACCAGCAGTGCCTTCAGGATCCACAGACATGTATTCCATATTTCTGCAACCCCAGAGCCTTTTAACAGCATTATCAGAAGTTACTGCTTTCTTGGTCTCTTGGAGGAAAACAATATCAGCATGCTTGTCTTTTATTAGACTTTTGATTCTGCCCTTCTTCTCCGGTTTACCTAGACCCCTAATATTCCAAGATAGAAGCTTCATAATTAAACATATTAGTACACTCAAATCACCCATCTGCAGTGACTTATTTCTGAGTCGTCCCCTCCTTGGTGATTCTGGCTTTATCCTTCATCTCAAGTTCGATTATCTTGTTTAAAACCACATCCTCCTCACCGTTAAAATTAACACCCAGTGATTTCCCCAATTGTATTGTAGCTTCGGCTTCATCCAGACGATAATTGTTAGAAGATGATCCACTTTCAGAAAAATCAGACTGAGCAAAGGTAGAAGCTACCGGTCTAAAGATAACAGACTTGGAAGATTTCTTGAGAGCTGCTGCGGTTCTGAATCCATGGAATCTAGCAAAGCTGTTAAATCCCTCTATGTGGGCCTTCGTCTTCCCTTTTTTCCTCTCAGTTTGCAGTGGTTCTGTATAAGGAATAATAGATTTACCTTGGCCTTTTGGATTGAGACTTAAGAAGCTTACTTCATTTGGCCCCAACTTTTTTGATCGCCCAGCAGATTGCAAAAGGGCCATATCACTGGATAGGGACTGGTTTGGTACATGGCCCAAATTAACCTCCAAATTGATACCAGGCCCAAGGTCTCCAAAAGGTTTGCTGGCTAAATTGACATCCAGCTTAATACCCGGCCCACATCCGTCTATAGGTTTGCCTGAAGGAGCTTGCTGAACACGCTTCAACCTGCCATCATTATTTTTTGAATTTTGGTCTGATCCTTCCATCAAAGTCCCCTCAACGCTTGCTCCCTCTGACCTGATGGAGCCTCCAGGACAGAGAGTCTCTTCAACCACAGTTCCTAATTCCTCTCCTATGAGACTGCAACTAGGCTCTTTCCTTTGTTTAGTCTCGTTAGTGCAAACCAGATCAGTTCCGAGCAAAACACTCAATTGTGCCACCTCATCACCATCGTTTTTGACCCTTGCAGCTGCCTCTGGAGTGTTGCTAACCTCCTCACTGTTGCTGGCTTCTGTGTAGTCGGAGTCTTCCATTCTAGATGTCTTCATCCCATCAGAATCTGCTAGATGGTCTTCGCATACAAGAATGTAATAAGAAAGGCCCTTACACTCCAAGCAAATAGTTTTGTTTATATATTCCATGGATGCAGTAGCTACTCTGATTCTGGCGTGAGAAAAAGATTTAGGATGGCAGATATCACCATCTAGGCTGAGGATGGTGCCCCAAACCTTACCAATGCTGTTGAGTGTATTTCTATTCCATAGATGCAGGGGTATACCATAGCATCTCAACCAAACGCACCTCTCCTGCTGCAGATGGAGATTTGGCTTCCAAACCATCACAAATTGACTCCAGTCCTTCAGCCACTCTGTAATCTTTCCAATGTTTGACTGAAGCTCAACGGAAGATTTGAAGGATATTAATATATCACGACCTCCCCCTTTCCTGACTTCAACCTGCTCCAAACCTTGCTCTGCCAGAGCTTTCATAATGCTGTGTGTGGTAAGCTCTGCATTAAATCTGACTATAACACTATCATAGAGCCAGCCATTGCCCTCTTCATGAACTTTTAGAGTTATATTTGAGTTCCCATCCACGATAGAGGCATCTCCTTTTAGCACTTCAGCAAAAGTTCTATGGCCTACGTGTGCACCACTGCCCCTGATATTAGTTGTATCCATGCTCCTTTTAGAATCCTGTGGCTTACGGTTGTTCTGTTCGGGTCTGGTATTCCTGTCGTAGGTAGCCATTTTAACCACGAGCATCGTGTCATCCACAAACAGGCCATTCGCTTTTTGGATGGCAACAGATGCTGAAACACAACAGTCATAACGGACAAACCCAAACCTTGTGTTCGTCGCTTTCCTTCTTTTGAATGGGATGTAAGCATCCTTCACGATCCCGAACTTGGTAAAGAGTTTGTACAATGCTTTAGCATCCATTACTGTAGGAATGTTGTCAACAAATACAGTGAAAAAACCCTGGCTTCGTTCCTTACTCTGAGCACCACCGCCTCTCCACTGACTCATCACCGGAGTCCAACCACCGGCGTCCAGCCGCCTCTTTACAGTCATTTAAGTCTCTTTTTTCAAAGCTTCTGAAGTTTCAGACAATTCTAGGGATAAGTGTGATTAACCCACTATCCTATCTGTTGAGGAGATAGAGTTGTGGGTGTGTAGACCGCTCAAGAACTCTGGCTCTGTGCGCGAGGGCACGAAATCATTTGTTCATTAGCTACTACAGTTCGAACTCATGTCACGGCTCTGAATCAAATCTCACAAAGTGCAATGTGAGATCAATAAATCACCAAAGAGTCCAAATCTGACAAATCGTTTTGGAAAATCAATTTTAATAAAGAAGTGCCAAACATGGACTGCTTTGCCAGATACAGAGTCACCATCTAAATGTTTTATTTTGGGGAATTTACGAAACCCTGACTCGTGCCTAAGGCCACGTGTCCGTCATCACCAAAGTTACCTCGGCTCGGGAACTTGGGTACGAGAGGGGAAGGTCATCCAATGAGCACCCCCGCTCGCCCGATCAAAGATCGGCCTTTACTATCATGATATGTTGTTTTTGAAAACACATGTGTTCTTATTCCGTTATTAACCTAGAATTACTATGTGATCTGCACAACATACAAGTATAGACTAGATCGCCTAAGTTGGAACAAAACATTTCATGTTTGTTTGTTTGAAAACGGTTTAGAGGTGCTACTTGCAAGTAGGCTAAGTGGTAGATTTTGCCACCCTCAAGTGGGCTTAGAAAACATGATTTTGCCACTCTCAAGTGGGCTTAAAACTCGCATTTCGATGAATTTGTTCCAATTCAGGCAATCAAGCCTCCACCCACAGGCATTGAAGCTGTTAATCACTTAAGCAGTTAGCCTTATGGCAAGCATGCTATCATGGAAACACTTCCACACATGCAAGGATGCTAAAGCGTAAACACTCACAGTGTACTCCAAGCCAAAACAAAGAACTAGTTAGAAATCATGCATGATCCTAGTTCATGTTAAGATGGCTAATGCAACACATGCAAAAATGCAACTAAGATAGGCTCGGCTGTTCTAGGATGTCATGTGAATGCAACTTGATAACAAGTATTCAAATTGGTATTGAAATACAATGCAGTTAGTATGATGCGCCGAGCCCAGTGCATGCAAGACAAAATGAATGATGCACGCATGCGAGCATAAGGATGCTAATTGAAAATGACCCTAAACTAACCATTGAAACATGGTAAATAAAAGGGAGAAAGAAATGGGGTTGGAAGACATGCATCACACACACGCACGCTTATTACAACAATTGTGCCCTCTCGACGGAGGGTCTGAATGAATCAACTAACTAGCTATGCTAAGCTAATTAATTACAAATCGAATTGAAACTAGCTATACAAAGCTAATTAGAATATTGCAACATGGATTAAGCTAATTAATTACAAGATAAGTAATCAACTACAACTAGCTAATAAAGTAGTAAAAATGGCCTCGCGAGGAGGGGTGTATGCATGCTCGGACGACTTCGCTCGGAAATCCACTACCGTGCCTCATATTGCCTCTGTTTGCACTATTCTGTATCTTTGAAAATTGTGCCAACTTCCATAGTGCTTCTGATCCACCTTAGGACTATGCTGAGAGGTGGTCGGCTAAGAGGAATGGCCATCGGCCAAAGATAATGGTCATCAGCCAATTTTGATAGCTATCGGCCAATTTTGATAGCCGATCGGCAGACTAAGTGGTTGATCGGCCACTGCTTCCTGTAAACTTCTCTTTTTGCTGCAACAGAGCACTAACAGAGGCAAGGCAGTGTATTTACAAGAAAATGTGTGTGCAACCACACCCCTTATCATGTTTAAAGCTCAAAGGAGTGCAGTACTCGACTCCCAAGCCATCAATCACGCATCTCGATGCATGATGACCAAAGAGGCTAAGTTGCACAAATCAATGTCAAATGAATGCACACATAACACATAAATGCCTTAACCTCTATCGTGCATGATCAAGAGGGTCGGCGACTGAGAATTGAGGTACGTTTCATCATTTCAACTATGAAACGTCTCTCGTTCCTCGTGTTTGGATTGACACCCTTTCCAAACATAATGCAATGCAACGCATGCACACACAATGCAATGCGACAAGCATGCAAAAAAACCATGCAATGCAACAAGCATGCAACAACATTCTTAATGGACTTAAACCAAATATGGACAGACCTCAATAATGCCCAAATCAGTGGCCAATAACACCAAAACTAAGGCACCAAAAAGCAAAACACGCATGCACACATATTGGTCCATAAGCTAGGCAATAATGCACAACCCTTAGAGGCACTCAAAGGGTGAAATAAATGGGAATATGGCAATGCTATATGCTCTGAAATAACATGGTAAGTGATGCCAAATCATAGACATGTCATAAATGAAGCATGCTAGGAAACTGAAAGCTTGAAGCTAACATAGGCATTTGCACTACAACTATGCAAAACATGAAGCACATGGCCAATACAACCCAAAATAGTCCTAGATCATGCTAAATAAAGGCTAAAACATGCACGGAATATAGCCAAAATGAGCTAGAATAATAGGCTAAAGAGACAAGCATGTAAGGCTAGCTAGCAAGGATTACACTACAAGTGTATAAAGCATGCAAGAGGTGAGTCCACCAATCAAGATTGGAGTTATAACATGCCAAAATAATACCAGAAACATGTTTGAACTAAACTAATTCAAACAACAAGAGCATGCTACTTGGTAAGGCTAACATGGCTAGCAAAGAGGATTTACACTACAAGTGCATGAAGCATGCAACCCATGATCAAACAAGCCAAAAAAAGAGTTTATGTCATGCTGAAATAAGCCCAAAAATAAACTAAGAACAAGCCAACACATGCTAGAAAAACATGCTCGATAATTAGGCCAACAAGGCATACAAGCAAGACAAGAAGAGAGGGGACCACCCTCTCCCATTTTGAACCTCAAAACCACATTTTTACCACTAAAAATCGACTGGATTTCAGTGGTTAAAAGGCCAAACAAAGATGGTTTTAAAAGCTTAGGAAG